GTAATGAAAATTATAGAACCCTAAAGAAAGAAATCAAAGACGACCTTGGAAGATGGAAAGATCTACCTTGCTCTTGGATAGGCAGAATTGATGTTATCAAAATGACCATATACTACCAAAAGCAATAAACAGATTTAATGCAATTCTGATCAAAATCCCAATGACATTCCTCATAGAAATAGAAAAAGGAGTCATAAAATTCATCTGGTAAAATAAGAGACCCAGAATAGCAAAAGAAATTCTTAGCAGGAACAGTGAAGCAGATGGCATCACTATACCAGACCTTAAACTACACCACAGAGCAATAGTAATAAAAACAGCTTGGCATTGGCACCAAAAACAGACTGGTAGACCAATGGTACAGAATAGAGGACACAGAGACGAATTCACAAAATTACAATTATCTTGTATCTATATCTTATCTTATTGGAGAAAAGATAGTGTCTTCAAAAAATAGTGCTGGGAAAACTGGAAATCCGTATGCAACAAAATGAAATTAAAGCCCTATCTCTAAACCATGCACAACACTCAAGGATCAAGTACCTAGGAAGTAAACCAGAAACCCTGTGTCTAAGAAGAAAAAGTAGGCCCAAATCTCCATCATATAGAATTAGGCCCCTACTTCCTTAATAAGACTCCTATAGAGCAAGAATTAAAATCAAGAATCAATAAACTGAATGATTCAAACTAAATTTTTTTTTCTCAGCAAAAGAAACAATTAGTGAGGTGAGCAAGTTTGGGAGCAGCTTGGGAGCAAGTTTTTACCACTTGCACATCAGATGGAGCACTAATCTCTAGGTATATAAAGAACTCAAAAAGCTAAACATCAAAAAACAAAAACAAAAACAAAACACAAAAACCCTAATAACCCAATCAATAAATGGGCCAAGGAACTGAACAGACACTTCTCAGAAGATGATATACAATCAATCAACAAATATATAAAAAAGTGTTCATCATTGCTAGCAATTAGGGAAATGCAAATTAAAACTACTCTAAGATTTCATCTCATTCCAGTCAGAATGGCAGCTATTATGAATACAAACAATAATAAGTGCTGGTGAGAATGTGGGGAGAAAGGCACACTCATACATTGCTGGTGGGACTGCAAACTGGTGCAGCCAATATGGAAAACAGTATGGAGATTTCATGGAAAACTGGGAATGGAACCATCATTTGACCCAGCTATCCCTTTCCTCGGTGTATACCCAAAGGACTTAAAAAGAGCATACTATAGGGACACAATCACACCAATGTTTATAGCAGCACAATTCACAATAGCTAAACTGTGGAACCAACTTAGATGCCCTTCAATAGATGAATGGATAAAGAAATGTGGAATATATACACAATGGAATATTACTCAGCAATAAAAGAGAATAAAATCATGGCATTTGCAGGTAAATGGATGGAATTAGAGAAGATAATGCTAAGCGAAGTTAGCCAATCCCCCAAAACGAAATGCTGAATGTTTTCTCTAATAAAGGAGCCTAATTCATAGTGGGGTTGGGAGGGGTAGCATGGGAAGATTAGACAAACTCCAGATAGGGCAAAGGGGAGGGAGGGGAAGGGAGGGGACAAGGGGTGTAAAAAAGATGGTGGAATGAGTTGGACATCATTATCTTAAGTACACGTATGAAGACACAAATAGTGTGCATATACTTTGTATACAATCAGAGATATGAAAAATTGTGCTCTATATGTGTAATATGAATCCTAATGCATTATGTTGTCATATATAACAAATTAGAATAAAAAATTAAAAAAAGAATGAAGCTGCCATAAACTCCCTCCTTGGGGGAGCTTCACTCCCAGGTAGTACCACTTGCAATTAAATGGGAAATCATATCAGTAAACGTATCATCAACTGTTATACCTTCCATTTGTTCTCCTAAAAGCTTACTTGTCTTTTCCATAGAAATCCTTTAAGTTGGTGTATAAATCCCTACCTCTAGTAGTTCAGGGAATCTGAACATGTCTATTCTTTCATATGTATGTTAACTTTTTTTCCCTGTTAATCTGCTAATTAGCAGCTCCCTCCTCCACTGCATCTAGCTTAGTAGAGGAAAAGTGTTTCCTTTGGGCACACTCATAAGATATGAAGAGATATCTAGAATCAGATTCACAAATAGAAAGTAGAAAGGTGATTTTTAGGAGCTTGGAGTAGTGGAGGGTTATTTTTTAATGTTCATAGGATTTCATTTTTGTAAGATGAGAAGAGTTCTGGAGATGAGTGATGGTGATGGTGGCATAACAAAGTGATTGTACTTAATGCCTCTGAACTGTACACCTAAAAATGGCTACGATGGTTTATTTTGTGTTTTGTGCAATTTAATGACAATTTTTAAAGTTGGATCATCTTAGTTATACATGACAGTCGAATTCATTTTGATAAATTATACAATTTTTTAAAAAGATAATTTTCCAAAAATGATTAAATCCTGACTGCCATACAGATATAAAAATGAATGCATGCTAAAGGCTTTTTTTCCCCCCTAGTGGTTAGTGAGTAAACCAGTGTTACAATCAGTTCTAGGGAGAATCCAAATTGAGGTCAAGAATAAATATTGAAATGAATGTGTAAATGGAAATAAAACTGGCCTTCAGTTTGAATGGGGAAAAATGAATCACTGTGCATTGCTATCAGCAGTCTTCCAAAGTAACCAACAACAAAGGAAGACTGGGGTTAACGTGAACCATGTGATCAGAACAATGCAAAGTTTTCCACTGAAGTATAGTTTTTTTTTCCTTCTAGCTCATTCATCCCAGGCCATATTAGATTTAAGGGTATGTTCTATGAGACAAACTAAAACTGACAGAGCTAATTTAAAAATTAAATGAAAGCTTAATTAGAAATTCTAAAACATAAATTGACAATGGTGGTGTAGAAAGCTATAGTTTGATCATATAATGAAATGGCACTATTAAAATAATTAATTGGAAGGTTCATTAGACTTAGTTGGCTCCGATATCTTGGGTTCCTACTGAAGCAAACTAAACCCAGATCAATATGCTTAATTAACCAGAAGCTGTTAACTAACCTCTAATTTGGGACTTTCCACTTTGGTCAATCAAATATATTTTCTTTGTTTTGTTGAACACGTTATAAAACTTTTCTCTGAAAAGAACCAGAGGGAAGGAAGAGGGAAGGAAAATAGGAAATACTGAGGAATAATATTGGCCAAATTGTCATATTGTATGCATGTATGAATATGTAACAATCAATCCCACCACTTTGTACAATTATAGTGCACCAATAAGAAATATGGGGTGGGGTTGCTCAGTGGTACAGCACTTGCCTAGCATGTTTGATTCTCAGCACCGCATATAAATAAATAAAATAAAGGCCCATTGACAACTAAAAAAAAAAAAAAAGGAAATATGGGGGAGAGCTGGGGTTGTGGCTCAATGGTAGAGCACTTGCCTTTTCATATGTAAGGCACTGAGTTTAATTCTCAGCACCACTCCTATATTTCTGGGAAATCTTTAAATCTTAAAGTTAACCATAAATTTACTCATGTATGTTAATTATCTTGTGCAGCATTAATTAGATTACACAAAGAGAGATACAATATTTTGACAAAGTCCTCTAAAATTAACTTAGGGGACTTTGCAGTGTTATCTACCTATCAAATAACAGAGATCACATCAGCCTAAGGATCTTGAGAAAAACCACATGACCACAGACCAATTACCAGACAGATGTAGTCCCTACATACCTTCCTATGACTACTCTTCACTAAGTTTCCTTTAGAAGAAGAGCTGGGGATTCCCCAAATGCATCTCTTACCCTTGAGATGGTCCATTTTGCTTTGAATCCCTTTATTTATTTGTCAGTGACTCATTTGACATGTGTTGAAATTCTTTTCCATCAGTATATGTCAAGAGTCACACTTGTCCTGAGTTGAGTTCCCCCCTTCTCTGGGAATTCCTCAAGATACTATCCCAGAGATATCACTTTTCTGGTGATAGTATAACAAATGAGAAATACTAGGAATGTAAGGATTCTCTAATATGAGCAGATCATCTTATTATATATAACAACATTCATAAAATTCCAACCACATTAGACAAAAAGGGGGGAAGAATAGTCACACACACAGCTCTCTAAAGGGATGAAAAAATGTAAAGGAGTCATATCCTTAATAATCTGAAATTCTGGTTTATTTATAGCTTAGTGAAATTGAAAATGACTAAAAATTATTAAGAGAACCACAACACATTCATATAATGGAATATTTGTCAGTATTTTAAATGATGATAATTGTATTTCAAATAAAATAAGATAATTTGGACATGATGTTAATTTTTAAAAGCATAACAAGACTTACTCTGTGGTCAGTTTGGCTATATTAATATGCACACCTACAAAATAAAACTTAAAGTGAAAGCAGTAATATATTATTGGTGCTGTTTTTCACTCTTTCTTCACACAGTGCAGTGAATATTTTTATTAGTGCTCATGGATTCTTTCAACAAACTTGTTTATATTTTCCTTTAGGGGGCTGGGCAGACTGTGGGAAGTGATATGAGGCTCCTTTTCTGGTGAATTGTAAATAAGCACACATCAAGTTAGAAACCTTCCAGGAAGATTAAAGGGCCACATAACAACATGGGAAAACAGAAAGCAAATGGAATTGAATGATCACAAAATCTTTACCCAGGACTATACATATTAAGTTTACAATAATGAGTCCAACAGCTAACATTAAGAAAGTGTTTAATAGTTTATAACCACTAATTCATTTAATCTTCACACACACAAATTTGCAAGATCTATAGTACCTTGTTTCTATTTTACTGATAAAAAAATACTTTGCTGTAGCCATGCAGGTATGAATTGGAGTTATTAAGTATTTACCCTGCACACTGGTTTCTCCCTGTGGAAGGTACTGAAGATCAAATGTGCCGAGTTATGTTCGCTTCCTTATCCCAGTGTCTGCCATATAGTAGTAATTAAATTATAGCTTTTATTTTTAATTACTAGGTTTAGTGTTTACCTTTGCATAGGTTGGGGTTCCATTTAGAGGTTTCCCAACTGTTTTGTCCAATCCACGTACTTCAGTGCTATCTGGTGTGTAGATGAATATGGGAATACCTTCAACTCTGTGGTTGCATGAGTCAATCAAATGTTAAAACTAGGAAGATAGGAAAATCACAGTTGAAAACTTATAACTCAGACGTTAGTAAAATTGTAGGTCAGGTTGTTGAGATAAGAAAGTAATGAGGAAATAGGGTCATCCTAGTTCCTGGACAATCTTCAGTTGTGAGCCGACATGTGGCAACACTTTGGAATGAGTACCACCCTCTGGAGTCTGGCTCTCAATACCTGTTGTCCAAAACTTTGGTTTAGTAAGGATACACAGAATTATTTTGGCTCTTGGAAATTATTAAAGTAAATAAAACTAATCAAAGAACTAATCTTTAAATCATAGTGTCAATTATGTATATACAGCAATATGCCTCTTCTAGGGTGGGATATTTTGTGTTAGTCAGTTCTCTGTCATTATAACAAAATACCTGAGGTAATTAATCTGTAAAGATAAAAGAGTATTTTGGCTTACAGTTTTGGGATTACAGCTTAAACGATTGACCCCATTACTTTTGGGCCAGTGGGGAGGCAGCATATCATGGCAAAAGTGCATGGCTAAGCAAAATTTCTCATCTGGTCATAAGCCAGAGAACAAAAGAAAGTGAGAAGGAAACTAGAGTCCTACAGTCCCTATCAAGGGCACACCTGTGATGACCTAAAGACCTCCCACCAGGCTCCATCTTTTAAAGACTCTACCATCTCCCAACACCCTGGGGATCCAGGCTTTAACTACTTCGGCTTAGGGGATCATTCAAGATCCACACTACAGTATATTTCATCACCTCATTGCTCTGGCAATGAGAACTCATTATTTTTTGCTTATTTTGTTTTGCTTTTTGAGATGGGGTCTCACTATGCTGCCCAGGCTGGTGTCTAATTCCTGAACTCAGGAAATTCTTCTGCCTCTACTTCTTGAGTAGCTGGGACTATAGGTACATGTTACTGTACCAGAAAATTCATTCTTGCTCCCAGGTTGTGCACTGGAAATCACTTATCTAATCAGAATACTTCTGAATCCTCACCCTCACCTAGTACCTGCTCTATTTTGTATAAAATTTATCATTATCTAAAATTATCTTATTTCCTTTTATTTTTAAAATATTTTGTTTTAGTTTTGTTTAAAATATTTTTAAAGTGTTTTTTTTTGAGACACAATACCTTTATTTTATTTTTATGTGGTGCTGAGGATCAAATCCACATGTGCTAGGCAAGCGCTGTATCACTGAGCCATAACCCCAGCCCCTCTCATTTCCTTCTTGATGGCCTGTATGCCTTCCACTAGACAGACAGATTCTTAGATGCTTATTAACTGCCATATTCCCAGCTTTTTGTTTGTTTGAATCAGAAATTTATTCACAGAATAATGCACAAAGCACAGGTTGAGGCTACTTCTCTTACTCTTCATCCTCCCACCTCCCCTCTGAATGCCAGTTGAAGGAAATGTACAATCACAAACAATGGTCAACTCTAAAAACAAAAGGTTTGGTTTAGAAGAATGCAACATAATTAATCCAATCACTGTGAACACTCCACTGAGTAGGATTAAGATATTGCAGATGTAGTTTTTCACAGGTGGCTCTTTAGTGATCAGGGGGCCTTCTTAATTGAGACAAGGACAGAATGCATGGGGGAGACATCTTTGGCCTGCTTGCTGAACTTGGGCCACCTGCTCAATACCTGCAGACAACTCATTAATGTCTTTTACAAAGACTTCTTCTGCTGTGCCATTGTTTGCTTTAATTTTCTGTAGGTGCTCCTCCTGTCTTGCATACCACTCTTCTAGCTCCTTTATTGAAGTTTTCGTTCCACTCTGCTTCTTGCTCCCAAGAATTGGCATCAAGGAGCCAGGCATGGTAACACATGCCTGTAATCCTTCAAAGCCAGCCTCAGCAAAAGCGGGGCACTAAGCAACTCAGTGAGACCGTCTCTAAATAAAATACAAAATACAGCTGGGGATGTGCTTGAGTGGCCCTTGAATTCAATCCCTGGTAACCCCCACCAAAAAAAAAAAAAAAGAATAGCATTAAGGGCTTCCAAGTGTTCCATTTGCTCTTTGCTCCCTATGATTATTGCCCTTATAAGAGGAGGAAAATTTGTTCCTAAATACAGAGGAAAGACAGACATTATGATTGAAATTATGCTGCCATAAGGCAAGGAATGTCTGGAGTTATAAAAAAAATGTAGTAGACAAGGAAGGACCTTACACTGCTTGATTTTATGCTTTTAACATCCAGAACTGTGAAAATATATTTCCATTGTTTGAAAAGCCATCTGTTGATGGGCACTTGGATTGTTTCCTCCTTTTGGCTACTGGTAGTACTTTGTGCATGACCCAAAGTCATTTTTATATTTGATGCAATCTCTAATAAAGTCCCAATGGAGTTCTAATCTTGAATTAGAACAACAAAGTTGGAGAATTCAAATTTCCTAGTTTCAGTACTTATGTCAAAGCCACGATAATCAAAATGGCATGGTATTGGTCTAAGGTAGACAGACATTGAAATAGAAGAGAGGGCCCTGAATAAACCTTCACATCTATGGTTGTATGATTTTCAATAAGGGTACCAAGACCATTCAGTGGGGGAAAAACAGACTCTTCAGCAAATTAGGAAAAATGGAATATCAACATACAAAAAAAAGTTGTATTCATGCTTTTTATCACATACAAAAAAGAACTCAAAATAAGTTGGAGATCTAAATGTAGAGATAGAATTATAAAAGCTTAAAAATAAAACATAAGGGAAACCTCATGACCTTGAATTTGGTATTTTTTTTTTAAAAAATGTGACACTAGAAACACAATAACACAGAAAAAATAGGTAAGATGGATTTTATCAAAATGTAATTTTTAATGCATCAGCAAACAACATCAAAAGATTGAAAAGGCAACCCTTAGAAAGGAAAATTGCAAATAATAAATCTAACAAGGTTTTAATATACAGAATATATAAAGAATTCCTACAATTCAACAAAAAGACAAACATCCAGTTAAGATATGGGCAAAAGACTTGAACAGACTTTTCTCAAAATGAGATATTCAAATGGCCAGTAAGCACATGAAAAGATGCTTAACATTTTGAGACATGAGGAAAGCATAAAACCACATGATACATCCTTTCACACCTCTTAAAATGGCTCATAGAAACAATAGAAATAAGAAGTGTTGGTGAAGGTGTAGAGTAAAACAGTTTGATGATTTCTCAAAAAGTTAAACATAGAATTAATATATGACCCAGCAATTCCACTTGTAGATATATGCAGAAGAATTGAGAACATGGATCCAAATGTTCAACACAGCATTATTCACAATAGCCAAAAGGAGGAAACAATCCAAGTGCCCATCAACAGATGAACAGATAAAGATACATAAAAAGGAATGAAGTGGGTACATTGTACAACATGGATGAATTCTGAAAACACGTTAAATGAAAGAAGAGTCATAGGAGTTTTCCCAGGGCTTCCTTAAAAATTATCACTAAGCTGGTTGTCTTAGAACAACTCAAATTTATTATCTCACAGTTTTGGTGTCCAGCGTCTCAAATCAAGATGTCAACAGGGCTATGTTTTCTCTGAAGGCACTAGGGAAGGATCTATTTCAGGTCTGTCTCTAGCTTCTGGTAGCCTCAGGTGTTCCTTGGCTTATAGATGTTTATCTTCTCTAAGTCTTTTCACACCATCTTCCCTCTGTGAATATCTGTCTCTGTGTCCAAATTTTCTCTTTTTATAAGACAGCAGTCATAATGGATTAGGGCCCACCCTATAATGACCTCATTTAAACTTGATTATTTCAGTAAAGTTCCTGTTTCCACCTAAGGTCACATTCTGAGATATTGGGGATTAGGAATTTCATCACATATCCTTTTCATATTTTCCTTACATGAAATATCTAGAACATGCAGATTTACAGAGACAAAAAGTAGATGAGAGAGAGAGAGAGAGAGAGAGAGAGAGAGAGAGAGAGAGAGAGGGAGGGAGGGAGGTGTTAATAGGGAGGGTATTTTTTTTTGTATTGGGGATTGAACCCAGGGGCATTTAACCACTAAACTGCATCCTTAATCCTTTTGTTTATTTATTTTATTGTTTTTTTTTAGTTATACATGATAGTAGAATCCATTTTGATATAATTATATAAGCATGAAATATATCTTATTCTAATTAGAACTCCAGACTTGTGGATGTACACGATGGTGAGATTCGTTGTGGTGTATTCATATATATACACACATAGGAAAGTTATGTCCAATGCATTCCACTATTGTTCCTTTCCTAAACCTGCTCCCTTCCCTTTATTCCCCTTTGTCTAACCCACTGACCTTCTATTCTTCCCCTCCCCTCATATTGGGGTTTGCTTCCACATATCAGAGAAAACATTTGACTTTTGGTTTCTGGGGATTGGCTTATTTTACTAAGCATATGTATCCATATGTATCCATTTACTGGCAAATGTCAGAAAGTCATTCTTCTTAATGGCTGAGTAATTCTCCATTGTGTATTTATAAGTATATACCATATATTCTTTACACATTCCTCCGATGAAAGGCACTTAGTCCAAACCTTTTTATTTTTTAATTTTGAGGCATGGTTTCACTAAGTTGCTTAGGACCTCACTAACTTGCTAAGGACCTCACTAAGTTCCTGAGGCTGACTTTGAACTTGCAATCCTCCTGCCTCAGCCTCCAGCTGCTGGGATTATAGATATGTGCAACTGCACCCAGCTAATGGGGAATTTTTGCTTAAGAGTTCAGTTTCTAGGCCAAACTCTCCATCATGTTAGCTTCGGAACCGATTTCCTCAAAAGACTCCTAAAGAGCAAAAAGTAAAATCAACATCAATAAATGGGATGGTATCAAACTAGAAAGCTTTGTCACAATAAAGGAAAAAATAAAAATAGTGAACAGAAAGCCTACAGAATGGGAGAAAATCTTTGCCACCTGTACCTCAAATAAAGCATTAATCTCCAGGATATACAAAGAACTCAAAAAACTTAACACCAAGAAAACAAATAACCCAATCAATAAATTGGCCAAGGAACTGAACAGACACTTCTCAGAAGATGATATACATTCGATCAACAAATATATGAAAAAGTATTCAACATCTTTAGCAGTTAGAGAAATGCAAATCAAAACTACTCAAAGGTTTCATCTCATTCGAGGCAGAATGGAAGCTATTGTGAAGAAAAACAACAATAAGTGTTGGCAAAGATGTGGGGAAAAAGGCACACTCATACATTGCTGGTGGGACTGCAAATTGGTGCGGCCAATATGAAAAGCATTATGGAGTTTCTTTTGAAAACTGGGAATGGAACCACCATTTGACCCAGTTATCCCACTCCTCAGTCTATACCCAAAGGACTTAAAAACAACATACTATAGGGACACAGCCACATCAATGTTTATAGCAGCACAATTCATAATAGCTAAATTGTGGAACCAACCTAGATGCCCTTCAGTAGATGCATTTTCAGGTAAATGAATGGAGTTGGAGAATATAATGCTAAGTGAAGTTAGCCAATCCAAAAAACCCAAATGCTGAATGTTTTCTTTGGTATGAAGATGCTGCTTCATAATGGGGATGGGGGGGTGGAGCATGAGAGGAAGAGACAAAATTTAGTTAGGGCAAAGGGGAGGGAGGGGAAGAGAGAAGGCATGGGGGTAGGAAAGATGGTGAAATGAGATGGATATCATTACCCTAAGTACATGTATGAAGACATTAATGGTTTGACTCTACTTTGTGTACAACCAGAGACATGAGAAATTATGTTCTATATGTGTAATATGAATTGAATCATATTTTGCCGTCATTTATAACAAATTAGAATAAAAAAACTTAACACCAAAAAAACCCCTCAATCAATAAATGAGCAAAGGAATGGATCAGGCACTTCACAGAAGAAGAAATACAAATGATCAACAAATACATGAAAAAATGTTCAACGTTTCTAGCAGTTAAAAAATGCAAATTAAAACCCCACTGAGATTCTATCTTACTATAGTCAGAATGACAATTATTAAGAATATAAGTAACAATAAATATTAATGAAGATGTGGGGAAAATGTTACACTCATACATTGCTGATGGGACTGCAAATTGGTGCAACTATCTGGAAAGCAATATGGAGATTTCTCAGAAAACATGGAATGGAACCACCATTTGACCCAGTTATCTCACTTCTCAGTATATACCCAAAGGATTTAAAATCAGCATTCTACAGTGATGTAGCCACATGGATGTTTATAGCAGCTCAATTCACAATAGCTAAGCTATGGAACCAACTTATGGGCCCTTCAACAGATGAATGGATAAAGAAAATGTTGTATATATACACAAAGAAACCATAAAGAAGAATGAAATTATGGCATTTTCTAGTAAATGGATGGAGCTGGAGACTATCATACTAAGTGATATAAGCCAGCCCCCAAATCCAGAGGTTGAATGTGCTCTCTGATATGTGAATGCTAACCCATAACAAGGGAGAGTTGGTAGAAGGGGAAGTATAGAAGTACACTGGATTAGAAAAAGGGGAATGAAGGAAAGGAAGGGAATAGGAGACAGTAGAAAGAATCAAATATAACTTTCCTATACTCATGTACGAATGCACAATCATTGAAAATCCACATCATGTACACCCACAAGAATGGGATCCTAATTAGAATAAGTTATAGTCTATGTGGGCTGGGGAGGTGGCTCAAGCAGTAGCGCACTTGCCTGGCATGCATGAGGCCTGCCTGGGTTCGATCCTCAGCATCACATACAAACAAAGATGTTGTGTCCGCTGAAAAAATCCTAAAAAATAAATATTAAAAAAGAATAAGTTATAGTCTATGTATAAATAATATGCCAAAATACACTATATCGTCATGTATATCAAAAAGAACAAAAAAAAAAGTTCAGAGTGTTTGGTGTAATGAAAAGTTTTTGAAATAGATGAAGTAACAATTGCAGAACATTGTGAATTAATTAATGACATGAAATTGTACAATTAAAGTGATTTAAATGACTTATTTTATGTTTTTAATCACAATTTTACAATGAATTAGTTTTGGGCTGGGGTTGTGGCTCAGTGGCAGAGTACTTGCCTTGTACATGTGAGGCACTGGGGTTTGATCCTCAGCACCACATGAAAATAAATAAACCAAATAAAGATATTGTGTCCATCTACAACTAAAAAAATTTTAAAAATGGATTAATTTCCATAGAATAGAGAAAGTGATCAAAAACTATCCTGCAGAAAGTACCAAATCCAGATAATTTCATAAGGAAATGCACATAAACTTTCAGGGTCTCTCTAGAGGTAAAAAGCAAGGCAAAAGTGGAATAAATTGAAACACCGTCCTGAATAGGAAGCATCATTCTAAATAAGCAGGCATATCTTGCAAAATCTGGAGGAGACAAGGACGTCTACCCTCACTCCTTCTAGCCAGTGTATAGAGTTCCTAACCAGGCCACTACATGAAAATTGTATTATAGACATAGAATCAGAAATGAGTGAATAGAACTTCTGCTATTGCCAATGATCCACAAAACAAATTATTAGAAAGAATCCACAGACAAATTATTAGAAAGAAAGGAAGGAAGAATAGCAAGGGTAATTCTCAAGAAGTAGTAGTGTAAGATGTAAGGGGCAAAATGGGGAGGAGAGATGCACTTAGGTATCAGAGTTTTTCATGAAGCAACAATCAGTAAAACAATTCCTCTTAATTACCCTGCCTCCCCACCTTAATCACCTTTGTCCCATTCCCTCTTATCCTTAGAGTTGACTCCACATGAAAAGTCAAGGGTCCCGTGATTCTCTACTTTCATCATCAAAAGATTTGATGCATTCTCATCCTCTATCTCCCTGGATTCTTTTCATGGCACCTCTCATCTCTCTCCTCTGCTTTCCTGATATCTGGCTGCTTCTCAACACTTACCTATTAGTAATTGGTTTCATTGATGGGGAAACCTTTATTCCTGACCTCTACACTACAACTTCCAGTAAACTTCCATATTGGTATATTATGGCAATTCTCTGAAATCGGCTTTCTTATTGGTTTACTGACTTGTTTAGTGTTTCCCAATCCCTTCAAAGTTATGTTCTACGAAATCAGAAACTTTGAAAGTTTTATTTCTCTATTCCCTAGAGAAAGAGAACAAAGTGGGAAGTCAATAACGTGGAATAAATGAATGAATGAAAGCTCTGTGCTGAGTTTACTTCTCAATTTCCTTGACTGAACATTTCAATGATTCCATTTAATAACGGAGTGTTTTGAAGAGAAACTCATCCAACTGCTTGCTGCTCAAAGTGGATATACTGATACAAAATGAAAGGGAAATTGGGTAAATAGATCAGAAGGACAAGTGCTAGGAGAGCAAGTCTTTTTCATCCCCAGCATTATAATGTCACCCCTTGCACAATGTAGATTGCCCACCACTGCCTGTCAATTTTATGAACAACAGAGCCCCAGCTCCATCCAGAATAGTGGTCACCACCAGAGTGTTCATCTTTATGTTTCTTTTAAAAATAATTTTACTAGTTATACCACTTGTTCAGGAACTTCATTGGCACAGCTACAAGACCCACACACAGCTGTTCCCCTTTCCCATTGTATTTTTTCTAAGTCAGACAGTGGAAGTAGAATTAGTCAACTGCATGTCATCCTGCTATAGTGTTTGCAACATCTCCTGCAACTTAGT